AATTAGCATATTGAAGATATATCTGCACTTCATGTTTATTACAGCACTATACAATAGCCAAAATTTGGAATCAATCTGAATGTTCATCAACAGATGAATGGAAAAAGAAATTGTATACATACACATTGGAGTGCTAGTCAGTCATAAAAAAAGAATAACATTGTTTCATTTGCAATTACATGGATGAAAGTGGAGGTCATTATATTAAATGAAATAAATCAAGTACAGAAAGACAAATATCATATTCTCACTTATGGGAGCTAAGTATTAAAATAGTTTAATTGATGGAGATAGAGAGCAGAGGGTGGTTAATAGAGGCTGAAAAAGATATTGGAGGAATGAGGGGAAAATGGGATGCTTAATGAATATAAAAATAGAAAGAATGAATAAGACCTGGTATCTTCTTGCACAAAAAGATGTTTGTTAAAATGCATGCTCTGAATGAAGAGACTCCCCCAACAGGCTTTGTGTGAGCAAACAGCTGCTTATTCACCCAGGTGCAGGTGGACTGAGGCCAAAAATAGAATCGGTGAGGGTGGAGGGATAGGAGTTGGTTTTATATGTTTGGAGTAAACCGTGGAAAGTTACAGAAGTAATTTTAGGGCTTTTTGCAAGCTGAAGGGGGTCATAGATTTGCAATCTGAGAGGAGGTCACATGTGTGGAGTCATGAGGTTGGCCAAGGTAAGTTACAAAGTCCAATGGCTTTGTCAATTAAGACAGGAATAAGAAACAATAGAGAATGTCTCAAAGTTAAGTAGATGCCACAGGGGTTGATCATTTGTTTCTCTTTTCACGGATTTCCAGTTACTTTCGATTTTCCAGGAATGCATCTGGAGTGTCCCTGCAGGTTTCTGTGCAGGTCACAGAGGTTAGCATGGCATCCATGGGGCCATCAGTTGGCCTAAAAGACCTTACATTTCTGTCTTTTTATATTAGTTATATAAAAGAAAAAGAAATAAAGAGTGGAGCACAATGGAATATTAAGAAGGCTGGCACAGAGTAGTGATGAGGCAATGTTTCTCAGGGCTTCTTCAAGTAGGATTGGGGGCAGGGCGGAAACCTAAAATAGGAAAGAATTTAGACTGCTGGGAGATCTTGGGGCAAGGGGTGATATTGTGCGGTTGTTAGAAGGAGCATTTGTTGTATTGACTATTTGGTTATTGCTTGTATATGATTTTGTAGGAATTGAGAGATTAATCAGAAAGTACAGGGTCTAAATAAGTGAAGGAGAAATATAGTTATCAGAGGACTAAGGTTTGGAAGAAGCCCAGTCAGAGAGTGTCCAGCCAGTCCAGCCAGGTCCAGAATAACAATTTGCCTGATTAGCGAGCTTTTGGGCTCTGTCTTTTAATTTATTGATGGCATCATATACGAGGCCAGGCTGGTTTACATTAAAAACAAAAACAAACAAACAAAAAAAAAACATTCTTCATTTAGAAAGAGGCAAAGACCTCCTTTTTTTTAGCAGTCAGTAAATCACGACCTCTGTGGTTTTGGAGAACAACTGCAGCTAGGGAATTTAGTTGAGCTTGAAGAAGAGATAGTGATGTTAATTCTGCAATGCTAGCAAAGAAATCATTTGAGAGGCTACGGAAGGTGATGATTAAAGTGGTAAGGCTTGTTATGCCTGTGCCAAGTGCAGTAGTAATTCCCAACCCTATGAGTAGGGGGATTAATGGAATGACCCACTTGTGTCATGTTGGGACCACAAGGGGAACAAGGAGGCTTTTATTTCCATTGGTAATCTGAATTTTGAGAGTAAGGAAAACTAGGGTACAAGTGCCTGTCCAGTTGGTAGGATGGCAGATGTAAGAAGAAGAACCACAGAGGAATAAAAGAGTTCTTGGCTAAGATAGAACTGGAAGTGTAAACTGAAAAGGTGAGAAAGTGTTCTGAGGGGACTGGGGCTTTACACCTAAATGCCAAGAAAACCAGCAAGAACTGTGGCGGTTAAATGTTGTAGTGGGGTTTGGTAGGGTAACTGTGTGGAGGGAGAGCTTTTGTTTTCATGGTGTATGAGGAAGTGTGTGGTATCCATAAGTAACCACTCACTTTCATTAACAAGATTGGGTATGAACAGACAGGAAGAAGGGTCTGGAGGAGAGTCTGAGGAGCAAGGGGAAGGTAGTCAAGGGTAAAGTGAGAGACAGGGTAAATGCCTATCTAGGCAAGACCTGCTATTGACGTTTTTAAGGCTGCTAGTAATAAGGGAGAGCTTTTCTGTAATGCACAGTTTGTATGCTCCTATGTTTTGGTTAATGTGGGTAGTAGGGCTCTTGAGGTGAAGTGTAAAGGAACACAAAGAGGGTGGGAGATTTCCTAGGGGGGTTCCAGTGGGTGACTGTCAGGAAATGCATAAGGGAGCAGCAATAGGAATAGTTGTTTTTGTGGTTAGTGGTCCAAGGATGGTGGGTGTTGAGTTGACATAGGGAAAAAGATTAAGTAGATAGGTGCATAGAAGAGCAGCAGCCTATTGGGATGAGATATCTGGAGTGTCTCTGTTGACTCTGTTTAGGAGGTAAAGGAGTCCTTCTGAGGGGTACAGGTGGGGGCTGTTGAAGGAAGTCTGGAGGTGTAGAGAAATGGGAGAGTTCATCCAGTTGATCAGTAGGGCCGGAACGGCTACTGATCAACTCTACTTGAGGAGAGGGAAATGCATAGCCAGTAATCGCTGGCTAAGAAAGGGTTCAAGTTGGCTAGGAGAGAGTGGGTTATGTTTATGGTATGTTGGAGGTAATCAAGGAGAGGTGGGGGTAGGAAGAGAATGGGAGTGAGATTAAGAGTGAGTGAAAGAAGACAACTTCATTGGGTAAATGAACTGGAGAGTTTCTCGCCACATAAAATCATCTGTTCACTCTAGGACAGAATTAAGGGGTGGCAGCCTGAGAGTAAAATCATGAAATATCAGCTGTAATTGCCTAGCAGAAAAGTGTAAACTGGCAACTTAAACAAAAGCAGGGCATGTAAAAGTAAATGAGTACAGTGAATTTGAGCATAATTAGACAAAAAACAATAGAAACAGAGACCTTCTGAGGTGTGGTTTAAGTAGTAGTAGTGACTGCATACATCTGGAGAAGGCAAGGGGCTGAAAGTAAGTGTGTGAGTTATGAAAAGGAAACTAAACTTTGGAAGTTGTGAGAGCTAGAGATGTTAAGTGGGGCATAGCCTGTGATTTAAGGGATTCTAAGAGCATCAGGGCAGCAGCCACTGTAGTGCATAGGCATGAGGGCCAGCCCAGGACTGTGAGGTTAAGTTGTTTGAATAAAAAGGCTACAGGTCATAGGTTTGGCTCCTGTGTAAGAATTCTGACAGCACCGCCTCTTATTTCTGCTCTGTAGAGAGAGAAGTGTTGAGAGGAGTTGGGGAGCGCTAAAGTAGGAGCGACCTCTAAGGCCTTTTTTAGAGAATGGAACAAAGAACAGGGGAAGTGTTTTTGGCCTATGGGGTCTGATAAGTTTCCTTTTGGAAGTTCATAAACTGGTTTGGTTAAGGGGCAAAATCTTGTATACAGAGGTGAAAGTATACTACATGCCTAGAAAGGAGAGAAGCTGTTGTTTAGTGGATGCTATTGGATTTGAAAAATTAACTGGATACATTTGTCAGGGAGAGTGCATGAATGCTGGCAAAGGATTATAACAGAAGGGGAAGAAATTTAGGCTTTAGCAAAAAACATTTTTGAGGTCAAGAACAAAATAGTGAGTTGTGGAAGGGGGTATGGTAAATAGTGGGGTATGGGGTTTGGTACAACCAGGTGAATGAGAACTACAATCTGATTAATGAGGTGGAGGTCTTGGACTAGTGTATAGAATTTGTCTGGATTTTTTGGACAGGTGGGATAGGGGAATTGTAAGGAGAGTTAGTAGGAATTAAAGGGCCATATTGCAATATATGGGTGATAACAAGTTTTAACCCCTTAAGCTTTAAGCCTTTCAAAGCCTGTTGTGGGATGGGGTACTGGTGCTGGGTGGGGTAAGGGTGGTTAGGCTTTAAAGGAAGGGTGAGAGGTGAGTGACTTGTAGCAATGGATAGAGAGGTGGTGTCCCGCAACCTAGGGTCAACGTAGGGGAATACAAGGGGAGCTATTGAGGAAGGTACATGTTCAGGAAAGATGGCAGCAATGAGGTGCAGCTGTAGTCCAGGAATAGAAAATTTTGCTAGGATTACTCTGCCTAACAGGAGAACTGGACAAGCGGGAATGATTAGGAAAGAATGTGGAAAGGAGTGCTGGCCTAATTGACACCAGACTTGGGAAGTTTTGAGAGACCTGGAGGCCTTGCCATCAATTCACACAACAGTTATGGAGGCCAAGGAGATAGGTCCTTGAAAAGAAGGCAGTGTGGAGGGGGTGGCCTCTGTGTTGATTAAGAAGAGGATGGACTTACCCTCCACCATAAGAGTTACCCAAAACTCACCATCTGTCATGGTCCAGGGGGCCTCTGAGATGTTCGGGCAGCGTCACTCTTCAGCTGTCAAGCCCAGGAGATATGGGAGGGATTAGGTCTGGGGACTTTGGGTTGGAGTCCCAGGAGCTCTGGGAGCAGTAACATGAGTCAGACAGTCCAAATTTCTATGGGGGACCAGCATAGATGGGGAAGGGCTTAGGAGGAATCTCAGACTGTGGGCGTTCCTTGGTCCAGTAGCCAGGTTTCTGAAACTTGAAGCAACGTCCAGGAGGACCATCTGGATGCTACAGTCTGGGCGCTTTGAAATCTTTGTGAGCCAGTGGTGTGGCTGGGGTTTGTCTTACAGCAGAGGCAAGCATCTGTAATTCTAAAATTTTCTGCCACTTGGCAGCTTCTTCCTGGTTATTAAACACGTTAAAGGCAATGTTGGTTATTTCCCACTGTGAGGTTTGAGGGCCAGATTTTAATTTCTGTAGCTTTTTAATGTTCAGGCCTGATTGCGTGATAGAATGCATATTAAACACTTTTTAGGGGTGAGAGTAGAAGTAAAAATGACATTTAAGTCACTGCAGGTTAGATTATAGGACTGGGTTAAGTATTGGAGGATCTGATAAAAAGGAGCCTAAGCGTTGGCTGATTTGAAAAAGGTTGGATAAAGAGAAAGGATTGTGCTCCCTAACTATGCCTTCAGCTCCAGCCACCTCTCTAAAGGGGAATTGTTGGGCAGGAGCAGAGGGGTTAGCCACAGGACTAAACTGTAAGCCGGGCCAGGTATGAGATGGGGAGATTACAGGAGGGGCATAAGGAGGTGGGTTGTGGGCAGAGAAAGAGTAGGGAGGCTCTGGGGGTGGGGGTTTGGGCCTGGATTGGGGCCTGGTTCAGACAGACAGGGAGGAGAAAGGTTTGAAGGGTCGATGGACAAAAAGGATTCTGTGTTACTGGTGGAGGCAGGAGGGGCAGATGGAAGGGAGAGAAGGAGCAGAGATTAGGGAGGGATTAGAGAGTAAAAAAAAAATGCCTGGACGTCTGTCACCTTAGACCATTTGCCCATTGTTGACAGAAATTGTTTAGGTCTCACAGAATAGGAAAATTTAAAGTGCCGTTTTCTGGCCATTTGGAACAATTAATTTGTACTGAGTCTAGGCTGTACTACAGAAAAAATGTGATGTTTAGGCTTCAGACTGCGCTACAGTTGAAGAAGTTTAGGTTTTTTAGGACTCAGGTTAGAGGTGAAGACAGAGGAATAGAGGGTGGAATATTGACCCTGGTGAAGGAGATAATTTTTAAGGAAAGGAAAAGAGTAGAGACTAGGAGGAGTGAGCAGCTACCAGGGTTTTTAGTAGCCATTCCTGACTGATTCCTAGGCTGTAATGTGGGTGAGTGATCAAGGCAGGCATCCCCACAATTGTCCAGACACCAAGAGAAGATTGTCTTCTTGAGTCCATGACTGATGCCAGAGTTTTTGAGCAAGAGGGAGAGAATTGTCTTCTCCGACTCTACACAGATAAAGAGTGTTTCTTTGTCTCTACTTGAAGGAGAAAGATTTAAAGGAAAAGAGAGAAAAAAAAGGGACAGACTTGTCTTCTTAGAATTTAAAGGAAATGAGAGAAGAGAGAGGGAGAGAATGCTTACCTGATCTGAACGTGGTGAGAGCTGTTTGGCACGCCAAATATGAGTTGCTGGTCTGGTTAGATGTGTTGAGGTCTCAGGTGGATCTCTTCACAGAGGGAGAGTGGGGACAGGGCACTGGTCTCCCAAAAGGAGTACCCCTGTCCGGGGTTTTGGCACCAAATGTTAAAATGTGCCCTCTGAATGAAGAGACCCCCCCAAACAAGATTTGTGTGAGTAACATGGCTGTTTATTTATCTGGGTGCGGGTGGGCTGAGGTTGAAAATAGAGTCAGTGGAGGGCAGAAGGTGGAAGTTGGATTTATAGGTTGTGAGTAAACAGTAGAATGTTTCAGAAGTAATCTTAGGGTGGTTTTTTGCAAGCTGGGAGTGGGTCATAGGTTTGCAAGCTGAGAGGGGAGCATAGGCTGTGGAGTCACGAGGTTGGCCAAACTGGGAGGGGGTCATAGGGTGTGGAGTCATGAGATTGGCCAAGGTTGGTTACAAAGTGTAATGGCCTTGTCAATTGAGGACACAATAAGAAACAATAGAAAATGTTTCAAAGTTAAGTAGGCACCACAGGATTTGATAACTTCTTCTCCTTTTCATGTTCTTCCAGTTACTTCAGATTTTCCAGGAATTCATCTGGGGTGTCCATGCAAGTCGCAGATGTTAACCATGGCATCCATGGGGCCATCTGTCAGTCTAAAAGACTTTATAATGTTGACAGTCAAAAATAATTTAATTTTCCATTTCTAAAATATCTAAAACAATATTGGATTGTTTGTAACACAAAGGATAAATGCTTGAGTGGATGGATACCACATTTATTCTGATGTGATTAGTAAGAATTGCATGCATTGTCAAAATATTTTATGTGAACCATAAAAATCTATACCTACTATGTACCCACAACACTTTTTAAATTTTTTTGGTAGTTTTAATTACATATTAATTAGAATTTTAACATATGTAGTTTAAAAGTTTAGTAACCTTAGTTTTTGTTCAAACCTAGAATGTAAGTAGTATTTATTTATTTATTTATTTAGTTAGTTAGTTAGTTAGTTATTTTACTTCAAGTTCTGGGGCATATGTGCAGATCATGCAGGATTTTTGATAGGTACATACATGGCAATGTGGTTTGCTCCCTACACCTCCCTGTCACCCATACTTGGCATTTCTGCCCATGTTATCCATCCCCAGCCTCCCCACCCTCTGCTGTCCCTCCCCTAACCCCCCCAACAGACCCTGGTGTGTGATGCTCCCCTCCTTGTGTCCATGTGTTCTCATTGTTCAACACCTGCCTATGAGTGAGAGCATGCAGTGTTTGATTTTATGTTCTTGTGTCAGTTTGCTGAGAATGATGGTTTCCAGATTCATCCATGTCCCTACAAATGACACACACTCATAATTTTTTATGGCTGCATAGTATTCCACGGTGTATATGAGTCACATTTTCCTTGTCCACTCTATCATCAATGGGCATTTGGGTAGGTTCCAGGTCTTTGCTATTGTAAACAGTGCCAAAATGAACATATATGTGCATGTGTCTTTAAAATACAATGATTTATAGTCCTTTGGATATATACCCAGTAATGGGATTGCTGACTGAAGTTGAATTTCCATTTCTAGGTCCTTGGGGAATTGCCACACTGTCTTCCACAATGGTCGAACCAATTTACACTCCCACCAACAGTGTAAAAGTGTTCCTATTTCTCCACATCCTCTCCAGATCTGTTGTCTCCAGGTTTTTTAATAATTGTCATTCTAACTGGTATGAGATGATATCTCAATGTGGTTTTCATTTTCATTTCTCTAATGACCAGTGATGATGAGCATTTTTTCATATGTTTGTTGGCCACATATATGTCTTCTTTTGAAAAGTGTCTGTTCATATCCTTCACCCACTTTTGAATGGGTTTATTTGCTTTTTTCTTATAAATCCGTTTTAGTTCTTTGTAGATTCTGGATTTTAGCCCTTTGTCACATGGTATTTTAAATATTCATCACATACCAACATTTTATGTAACACTTATGCCTAATTTATTTTAATCAATCGTGTTTGAACTGTTTATAAAATTTTACAAGATATTGAACAAAGCTAGCCATCATCTTTAGTTAGTTTCCTGCTAACCATTTACACTGCAAAAATGTTAGGCTGTAGCCACTTAAAGCAAGAAGTCAACGGTACATAAGTGTTTTGCTGTTCATAGGCACAGCTGTTTTTATTAAACAAATAATATTAACTAGTCTTATCTAGTTAATTACTGAACTCATAAGAACTAAAAGACGTTTGATTTTTCTTTAAGCCAATTAAGTAGAACTCTTTTATATATTTACATAATAAAATACATATACATGGGTAATATATAAATGTATAGCAATACCGATACACAGAAGCAGATTATTTAGCATTATAAGGTTCTACACTTTTGAGTGTGCAAATAATTTTTCTCCCCCCTTTGACTATCAAGTTTTAAACAGTGGTTAACTAGGCAAATCTAAATTTGCACTCTAAAAGGATCACTTTTAAGTGAAAATTTACATCTCAAAGTCACAAATCTTAACTCTAAAGAACATTATTTGCTGAGACAAAGGGATAGGTGTAGGCTCAGTCCAGACAAGAGTGCTGGCCAAGCATCTTAAAGATACAATTTGTCAGGTAAATTTTAAGCCAATGTCTTCCTTTTTGTAAAAGTTTTCAGTGACTTGGAAGAAACGTGGTACCTTTACAAATAAAGATTTCCTCTATAACTGTAAACTTCTTTTACAAGGAGTTTCAAAATAGCCAACTTAATGTCAGAAATTCATTTTTTAGACACCAGAATGATAGATGGTGGTCTTTCCAACTTAGCTTGCTTTTTAAATAGATTAAATCCTTCAAGGTGGAGGTCTTTAATAAACAGGACAAAGAAAATATTTGAAATTTTCAGGGCCTAGTATTTAATCATTTGAGGAGCAGGCACAACTGGGAGGCAGCGAATCCATATTTTTAAAAATCAGGGTTTCCATTTTTACATTGAATCTTGGGTCCCTGAAAAAAAAATTGCCATGAGATTAGGTGCCGCAAACTTTCACAGTGCATCTCACTACAAAAACATTTTTCTAAGATTTTAAACTGTGTCCTTCTTCACTTGTTGATGAAAAGGTTCAAACTCTGTAAAAAATATAAAGAGGTCTATTTTGATCCAAGTATGAGTGACCATGGCCCATGTTAATGCCATAAGTAAAGTCTGAGAACATGTGCCCAAGTTGGCCAGGAAACAACTTGGATTTATACATATTAGGGGGGTGTAAGACATCAGTAAATACATGTAAAATGTACATTGATTCACTTTGGAAAGGCAGGACAACTGGATGTAGGGGTATCCAGGTTACACGCAGATTCTAAGGTTTTCTGATTGGCAACTGGTTGAAAAAATTTGTCTAGAGACTTGGAGTTAGTAGAAAAGACAATGTCTAGGTTAAGATAAGGGATTGCAGAGACAAAGGCTCTTATGCACATGAAGCTTTCAGGTAGCAGGCTTCAGAGGAAATACATTGTAAATGTTTCTTATCAGACTTAAAAAGGTGTCAGACTCTAAGTTGATTCTCTCTTACATCAGAAAGAAGTCTTGAAAAAAGAAAATAGGACTCTTTATAGAATGTAGATATTTTCCCACAAGGGACAAGTTGGCAGGGCTATTTCAACATATGGCAAATAAACATATTTGGGGTTAAAATATTTTTTCTTTTATTGTCTGTTATGTGATGTTATGGCAGTGTCAGGTTGTAAAGAAGTCATGTTATATAAAGATAAATAAAACCCCTCTAATGATACTTTATAATTTATATGGCATAACTCTCCAGATGCCTTAGATAGAAATTTGGGCAAGAGAAGCTAAAAGGACAAAGTTTAGTTCTCAATCTAACACACAAAGATAGCAGTAGTCCCCTGTAGTAATAAATATTCACTATAAACAACTTCTGTAAGCCACCTCCAAAACTGCAACTCTTACTATCAACTCACCAGCCATCACACACACAAAGGTCAAGTCCTCTCTCACAGTACAAAATAACCTCCAATACCACCAAGAGCCAAATATATTTTGTAACAGAATACAAGACATGTGGTATTAGGCCTGAGAGGAATCTTTTTATGAGTAGAGCATTAAAACCTTTTCATATCCTAGAGAAACAGGGAAGACTTCAAAAAGTGTGTGAGTAGTGCCTTTTTCTGTGTTTTTAAAGGGCCTGGATAGTTAGAAGTTCACTCTAGATACTTTTGTTACTGGTGGAGGAGATCTGAGTTACCCAGAGTAACCTATCCTTATGGGTCCATAGCAACTTTAGTTCATGCCTCCTCAGAAGAATTCAACTGAAGAGCATAAAGCAGAAAAAGAGATGGAGGCAAGTTGAAGAGCAAAAATGAAAGTTTATTTTAAAACACCTTGGAACAAGAAAAAAAGGAAGGTGCACTTGGAAGAGACCCAAGTGGGCGCATCAAGGTTAAAAAGAGAAAGTCAAGTGTCCCATTTAGCCATGATCCTAGAACTTTCATAAGCTCACAACTTTCCCTTGATTCTTCCCTTAGGGTGAGCTTTTCACATGCCCAGTACTTTCCTTACCCTTTGGAATTGAGCATTCACAATGTGCTTAGAAAGTTATAAGCATCTCCAACTGAGGCTTTCTTCTTTTTACTGTTGAAGTATACCTGTAGAAGACAATACTTTATAATTTTTGTCTCTTAACATGCATGCCCAGAAAGTTGCTTCTCCTGTGGTCTGCATTTAGTTAACATTTTGATGTTAACATGTGTGAACTATCAGAAAATGATTTCTTCCTGTCACTACCAAATTGTCATTTTTTAGAAAGGCAATGCAATTATTGCTCTACCATCACTCAACATTTCTAGTGGGTGGGGAGAGAGCCCTTTCCTGCCCTCCTCATACCTAACTAACTGTAACACTTTTATGTTGTACTAAAGACAGAAAAGATGAAGGAGTAGCTTTACTATCAGCTTTTATGAAACTAATTTCCACCATAGAGCTTTATTGTTTAAAAAAATACATATTTTGAATTTTTTTATGATCAGATTTTAGGTGTGACAAACAGCTGATATTCCTAGCTTTTGAATTTCTTTTTACCAAAGGTACCCTCCCATAATCTTGATTAAGACTTAATCACCGAAACCAGTAAGTTTTAATCAAGATTATGACTTAACCAAGGATACCCAAAGTTTCTCTTGTCAGTCAAGGAAAATGATCAAGGCAAATCTCCATCATTTTAGAAGGTTTGTTTGCCAAAGTTAAGGATGCATGCCTAGGACACAGGTCTATACCTTTCTCTCAAGATGATTTTGAGGTCTTCAAATTTAAAGGGGAAAGGGTGGAATATTGAGAAATACACTTTTTAATTTTATTTTATTATTTTTTTGTGGGTGTGTGAGGGGAAGTAGGGGAAAATAGTTTATGCCTTTGGCTGGCTCAGTTAATCTGCCTTTAACACAAAATAGTATAGACAATATGGCAAAGAAAACAATCAGATATGCATTTAAGAGACATAATCTCCTAAAATAAACATAACATTTAGTTTTTATGATGGCACTGCTTCCCCCTTGGGCTGCAGTAAGCATATCTAAGGCCATACAGTTTTTCAGAACTACTTCCCTCATTCATGTGGTCTCATTGTTTAGCAAAGAGATACTCATGTGGATATCATTTAGAGCCTTTTGTGTATAATTTGTTAAGGCCTCTATATGCCATATAGCATCTTCAATACCTATTCATGGTATGAATATTGAAGCTAAGTGATCATACTAATAGATGCAGGAAGCAAATATGAGGGGCACTGGAATATCTTTGAACCCCCACGTGAGTGTTTACATCAGACGCTTTTGTGAAGATGAGATAACTTGCCCAGAGTGCTGTCTGTGCATGCCCACAATAGACTGGGGATCCACCTGTGCACTGGGATGATGGGGTGGAGCCACAGAAATTTCTGCCTTGGCCAAGGGGTTGGAGCCTGGCTCCTTTAGTTCATGTGTGGTGGCCTGGTATTCAATTAGTGAGGTGAAAGCTCATTGGGAGGACTTCCTCTTGCTTTATTGAATGTTTCTTTTTTTTTTTTTTCATTTTCTCCCAATAAATTCTGCTTTCCTTACCCTTCGATGTATCCACGTTCCTAACTTTTCCTGGTTGTGAAACAAGAACCTGTGTTTAGGTAAACTAAGGAGCAATAATTCTGCATCATTTTGGTGTCCCTTATGGGGACATGAGAAAGGGTAAGATATGAACAAAAAATTATTTTCCTTCTCGTTTTTGAGGCTTTCTGTCTTTAGATCTTTTCTGAGGATAGAGGAGACTGAAAACAACCCCATATAAACTGCCACAGGCATGTGTGTGGAATGGACAGGAAAATGAAAGCTCCCCAAACCCCTTTTCTCTCAGCTGGGGCACAAGGCAATGTCTGCCTCATGTGCGTGTGGCCAGTGGCCATGAAGGGTGGGAATGAGTCATTGCCCTGGGCCCCATATAGCAGGCTGGCCAGAGTTACCCATGTGCATCCAGGAAGTCTTCCCCTCATTCAACCAGGGTGTCCATCTCCATCTGACAGCAATTAAGTTTCTCTCCCTGTTGTAGGAAATCATTTGCATAAGAATAAGGGGTTCTTCCCCCAGGCATCTTCCCAACCTTGCACTTTAAGCTTTCTGTCCCTTTTCTCTACCCTGTCAGCAGTTAGAATAGGCTTGCACTTTAAGCTTTCTTCTTTTCTTCACCAGATCAAGAGTTAACTTATGAGCAGTGGTTTTGTTTTACTTTTAGCAAATGTTTTACTAAGCCAGAACTCCAACTATCACTGTTCATTTTCTCTGTAAAGTTTTAATTGTATAAAAAAAATTTGTGAGGTTTATCTTAAGCTGTAGCCAATCCAGTGTGCAGTGCTTTGTTTTAGCCTCCAATATTTTACAATGATGGCCCAGGTTTAATCCTGGCTTAGGGAATGAATCCTTTATGGCTTGAAATCTGTGACTTTTGCCATTTGTTGATTCTCTTCCCCTCCATGAACCTCCTTAAGTTTTCCTTTTTCTGAGCTTTTAGTAAAGCTTGAAAGACAGAAATATTGGCTGCTTGGCACAGCTAAAGTGGAGTAACAAAAGATTTAAAAGGATTTTTTTAAAGAAGGCTCAGCTTAATTAAAAGTGAATATCCAAGTTATAGGCATAATTAAAAGACCTTTATGGTTTTCTCTTCTTGGATCTTGTTTCTCTGGAAAAGGGTTCTTATTCAGTTGACTGGATTACTTTTCTCCATTTTGCCTTGCCATTCTTAATTCATGCCTGAGAGGAAAGAACCCTCTGTTTTTCTTATGGAGCCCCAGGAATTAAAAGCAGATGAATCACTCTCAAAATCTGTTTTTGTCTTCCAAGTATACCTGTTTTTTATATCCTAGAAACAATATGTTTTTCTAGTCTTACTATTAACAGGCTCCACCCAGAGACCAGTAATCCAATTAGGAGTTTGGAAAATGAAAAAATCTAATAGCTACTGCATTCGTTTATACCTTAATGGGTAGTGATATAAGTGTTGTGTGTATAATGTCTATGAAAAAAGAGCTCTAATTAATTAAATTAAACAAAATAAGCACTTGCATTAAATATTTTTAAAAGTGAAGACAAAGGCTGTTGTACTTTTTAGTTTATGTGACTTTATTCTTTGATAAAGAAAAGCAGCCTTCAACTTCTTGCAAGATAGCCAAATAGAAACAGCTTAGATCTTCAGCTTCCAGTGAGATTGACGAAGAAGGTGGGTGATTTCTGCATTTCCAACTGTGGTACCTGGTTCATCTAATTGGGAATGGTTGGACAGTCAGGGCAGCCCTCCAAAGGTGAGCCAAAGCGGAGTGGGGCATCACCTCACCTGGGAAGTGCAAAGGGTCAGGGAATTCCCACTCCTAGCCAAGGGAATCCATTAGATACTGTCCTCTGCACTGTGGCCCAGATATTGTGTTTTTCCCATGGTCTTCAAAACCCCCACACCAGGAGATTCTCTGTGGTGCCTACAACACCACAGCCTTGGGTTTCCAGCACAAAACTGGGTGGCCATTTGAGAAAACACCAAACTAGCCACAGTAGTTTTTTTTTTTTTTTTAATTTTATTTTTCATATCCCAGAGGTGCCTGGATTTCCAGTGAGACAGAAGCATTCACTCCCCTGGAAAGGGGCCTGAAGCCAGGAAGCCAACTAATCTTTCTGGGAGGGCCCCACCCCCCAAAAAACCAGAAGCTAAGGTTCACTGGCTTGAAATTCTCACAGCCAGCACAGGAGTCTGAGCTTTACCTGGGCCTTTTGGGCTTGGTAGGGGGAGGGACATCTGACATTGCAGAGGGTCGAATAGGCGGTTTTAACATCACAGTCTAAACAAGTCTCTGGGAAGTTAGAAATGGACAGAGTCCATGGTAGCTCAGAAAGACTTTACAGGCAGACTGTCACTAGACTCATTCCTGTCTGGCCTGAGCATCTCTGAAAAAATGACAGCAGCACATCAGAGACTTATAGTTAAAGCCCCCACCTTCCTGGGACAGAGCACATGGGAAAAGGGATGGTGTGGGTACAGCTTAAGCAGACTTAAACATCCCTGCCTGGCAGATCTGAAGAGAGCAATTGATCTCCCAGTGCAGCGTGTGAGCTCTGATAAGGGATAGACTGCTTCCTCAAGTAGATCCCTGACACTGCATGTATCCTGACTGGGATACCCCTACCTTCCAGTAGGGGCCAATAGACACCTCATGAAAAAGAGATCTGGCAGGTACCCTTCTAGGCCAAAGCTACCAGAGAAAGAAAAAGGCAGCAATCAGCACAGTTTACAATAGCAAAGACCTGGAACCAACCCAAATGCCCATTGATGATAGACTGGACAGGGAAAATGTGGCACACATACCCCATGGAATATTATGCAGCCATGAAAAACAATGAGTTCATGTCCTTTGTAGAGACATGGATGAACCTGGAAACCATCATTCTCAGCAAACTGACACAAGAGCAGAAAATCACACACTGTGTGTTCTCTCTCATAGGTGGGTGTTGAACAATGAGAACACATGGACACAGGGAGGAGAGAACTACACACTGGTGTCTGTTGGGGGGAAATAGGGGAGGGACAGCAGGGGGTGGGGAGTTGGGGAGAGATAGCATGGGGAGAAATGCCAGATATAGGTGAAGGGGAGGAAGGCAGCAAATCACACTGCCATGTGTGTACCTTTGCAACAATCTTGCATGTTCTTCACATGTACCCCAAAACCTAAAATGCAATAAAAAAATTAAAAAAAAAAAAGAAAATGAAAAAGGCAACAATCATTGCTGTTCTGCAGCCCCCACTAATGACTGCCAGGCAAGCAGGGTCTGGAGTGGACCTCCAGGAAACTGCAGAAGATCTGCAGTGGAGGAGCCTCATTGTTAGGAGAAAAACAAAGAAACAGAAAAAAAAAGTTTCAACATCTACAGAAAGAGCGTCCACTCAGAGAAACCATGAAAAGTTTACTGACTTTAAAGACTAAAGGTAGATAAATCCACAAAGATGAGAAGAAACCAGCACAAAAAGGCTGAAAATTCCAAAACCCAGAACTTCTCTTCTCCTCCAAGGGACTACAACTCCTCACCATCAAGGGAACAAAACTGGATGGAAAATGAGTTTGAGGATTTGACAGAAGCAGGCTTCAGAAGGTGGGTAACAACAACTTTCTCTGAGCTAAATCGCATGTTAGGACATGCAAGTTAGGACATCTAACCAATGCAAGGAAGCTTAGAACCTTGAAAAAAGGTTAAGCTAACTAGAATAAACAATTTAGAGAAGAACATGAAAGACCTAATGGAGCTGAAAAACAGCACAAGAACTTTGTCAGGCATACACAACTTCCAATAGCCCAATCTGTCAAGTGGAAAAAGGATATCAGAGATTGAAGATCAACTCATTGAAACAAAGTGAGAAGATAAGATTAAAAAGAAAAGACTGAAAAGAAATGGACAAAGCCTCCATGAAATATGGGATTATGTGAAAAGACCAAATCTATGTTTGATTGGTGTACCTGAAATTGATGAGGAAAATTAAACCAAGTTGAAAAACACTTCAGAATATTACCAGAACTTCCCCCACCTACCAATGCAGGCCAACATTCAAATTAAGAAAACACAGAGAACACCACAAAGATACTCCTCAAGAAGAGCAACCCCAAGCCACATAATCACCAGATTCAACAGATTTGAAATGAAGAAAAAAATGCAAAGGGAAGCCAGAGAGAAAGGTCAGGTTACACACAAAGGAAAGCTCATCAGACTCACAGCAGGTCTCTCTGCAGAAACCCTATAAGGGAGAAGAGAGTGGAGGCCAATATTCAATATTCTTAAAGAAAATAATTTTCAACCCAGAATTTTGTATCCAGCCAAACTAAGCTTTATAAGTGAAGGAGAAATAAAATCCTTTACAGACAAGCCAATGCTGAGAGATTTTGTCAACACCAGGACTGCCTTACAAGAGTTCCTGAAGAAAGCAATACACATGGAAAGGAACAACATGCACCTGCCACTGCAAAAACATACCAAATTGTAAAGACCATCTACACTACTAAAAAACTGCATCAACTAAAGAGGAAACCAGCTAGTCTCATGCTAATAAGATTAAATTTACGCACAAATGTTAACCTTAAATATTAATGGGCTAAATGCCACAATTAAAAGACACAGGCTGGCAAATTGGATAAAGAATCAAGACCCATTGGTGTGCTGTATTCAGGAGACCCATGTCACATGCAAAGATACACATATGCTGAAAATAAGGGGAAGGAAGAAGATTTTCCAAGCAAATAGAGAGGAAAAAAAAGGGGATGGGATTTGCAATTCTAGTCTCTGATAAAACAGAGATCAAACCAACAAAGATCAAAAGAGACCAAGAAGGCCATTACATAATTGTAAAAAGATCAATGCAACAAGAAGGCCTAACTATCCTAAATATGTATGTACCCAATACAGGAACACACAAATACATAAATCAAGTTCTTAGAGATCTACAAAGAGAATTAGACTCCTACACAATAATACTTGGAGACTTTAACACCCCACTGTCAATATTAGACAAATCAATGAGACAGAAAATTAACATGGATATCCAGGTTTTGAAATCAGATCTGGACCAAGTGGACCTAATAGACATCAACACAACTCTTTGCCCCAAATCCACAGAATATACATTCTTCTCAGCACCACATCTTACTTATTCTAAAATAGATTACATAATTGGAAGAAAAACACTCCTCGGAAAATTCAAAAGAATGGAAATCATAACAAAGAGTCTCTCAGGCCACAGAGAAATCAAATTAGAAGTCAGGATGAAGAAACTCACTCAAAACTGCACAACTATATGGAAACTGAACAATAAGCTCCTGAATCTTTGAAGCCAATGAGAATGAAGACACAGCATACCAGAATTTCTGAGACACATTTAAAGCAGTGTGTAGAGGGAAATCTATAGCACTAAATGCCCACAAGATAAGGCAGAAAAGATCTAAATTTGACACTCTAACATCACAATTAAAAAACCTAGGGGAGCAAGACCAAACAAATTCAAAAGCTAGCAGAAGATAAGAAATAACTAAGATCAGAGCAGAACCGACAGAGACAGAGACACAAAAATCCCTTCAAAAAAATCAATGAATCCAGGAGCTGGGTTTTTGAAAAGATCAACAGAATAGATAGACCACTAGCCAGACTAATAAAGAAGAAAGAGAGAAGAATCAAATAGATTCAATAAAAAAAATGATAAAGGGGATATCACCAGCATTCCCACAGAAATACAAACTACCATCAGAGAATACTACAAACACCTCTATTTAAATGAACCCATAAATCTAAAAAAAAAAAAAAAGGATAAATTGCTGGAAAGTTACAACCTACCAAGAATAAACCATGAAGAAGCTGATTCTCAGAATAGATCAATAACAAGGTCTGAAATTGAGGAAGCAATTAATAGTCTACCAACCACAAAAAGTCCAGGACCAGACGAATTCACATTTGAATTCTACCAGAAGTACACAAAGAAGCTAGTACCATTCCTTCTGAAACTATCCCAAACAATGCAAACAGAGGGAATCCTCCCTAACTCATTTTATGAGACCAAAATTAACCTGATACCAAAACCTGGCAGAGACACAACTAAAAAAGAACATTTTAGGCCAATATCCATGATGAAAATTTATGTAAAAAATCCTCAATAAAATAGTGACAAATCAAATGCAATAGCACATCAAAAAATTTATCCACCATGATCAAGTTGGTTTCATCCTTGCAATGCAAGCCTGGTACAATATATGCAAATCTATAAACATAATCCATCACATAAACTGAACAAAGGAAAAAAACCACATGATTATCTCAATAGATGCAGAGAAGCCCTTCAACAAAATTCAACAGCCCTTTATGGTAAAAACTCTCAATAAACTATGTATCAATAGAACATATCTCAAAATAAGAAGAGCTATGTGCGTTTTATGAAAAACCCACAGCCAATAACATACTGAATGGGCAAAAACTGGAGGCATTCACTTTTTAAAATAATTTCTTAAGGTAAGAGAGTAGATTTTTGACTTGAGACTTTACATTTTGTCTAATGTACAAATGCAGTGGTGTACATTTTCTTTTCAGCACTGCTTTAGCTGTGTACCACCAATTCTTATATGTTTATTTTAATTTTTATTCAACTAAATGTATATATTGATTTTGTTTCTTGAGATATTATTTTTTTACTGACAGATTATATTGAAGAATGATACTTAGTTTTTAAATATTTGAAGATTTTCCTGATATCTCTCTGTTGATTTCTAGTTTGATCACATTGTGGTCAAACAACTCCTATTAAACAGAGTACTAGAAGTCCCAGCCAGACCAATCAGGAAAGAGAAATAAACAAAATTACATTACCAATCTTTAAAGTGTACTATAAGACTATGGTAACCAAAACAACAAGGTACTGATACAAAAAAGACATGAAGACCAATGGGGAACAAAATAGAGAACCCCAAAATAAAGTCTCATACCTATAGTCATTTAATTTTTAACAAAGTTGACAAAGATAAGGAAGTGGGAAAGAATTACCTAATCAATTAATGGTACTGAGATAGCTGGCTAGTCATATCTAGAAGAATTAAACTGAACTCCCTACCTTTTAGCACAGACAAAAATTAAAGGAAGATTAATAAAAGATTTAAATGTAAGACCTGGAATGATAAAATTCTAGCAGATTACCTAGAAAATACTGCCCTGGACGAGGGATCTGGCAAAGATTTTATAATGAAGACTCCAAAACTAATTGTGACAAAAACAAATTGTACAAGTGGAAGCTAATTAAACTAAAGAGCTCTGCATAGCAAAAAAAAAAAACCTATCAACAGAGTAAAATGACATCTTATGTAATGGGAGAACGTATTTGAAAATTATGCACCTGACAAAGGTCTAATACACCGACTATATAAGGACCTAAAATTTATAAGCAGAAAACAACCCCATTAAAAAGTGGACAAAGGACATGAACAGACACTTTTCAAAAGAAGACATATAAATGGCCAACAAACATATGAAAAAAAATTCTCAGCATCATTAATCATTAGAGAAATGTAAATTAAAACAGCAATGAGATACCATCTCCCACCAGTCAGAATCGCTACTACCAAAACCAAAAAACAACAGATGCTTGCAAGTCTGTGAAGAAAGGGGGGCACTTATACACTCTTGCAGTGAATAAAAATCAGTTAAGCAACTGTAAAAAACAGTTTGGATATTTCTTAAAGGATTTAAAATAGAACTACCATTTGGGCCAGTATTCTTATTGCTGGATATATACCCAAAAAGTAAATTATTTTAACAGAAAGACACATGCACTTTTACATTCATGATGTTAATAGCAATTTTCACAACAGCAAACACATGGAATCAAACTAGGTGTATTGAATAAAAAAGATACAGGTGCACCAAAGAATACTATGCAGCCATGAAAAGAGTAAAATCATGTCTTTTTCAGCAACATGGTGGACTTGGAAGTCATAATCCTAAGTGAGTTCATGCAGAAACAGGAAACCAAAAACTGCATGTCCTCTCACAAGTGGAAATTAAACATTGGGCCCATCTCATTGACATAAAGATGGCAACAATGGAAACTGGGGGCTTGTAGAGGGAGGTATGAAGGAGATGGGGAGGGTTGAAAAACTACCTATTGGGTTTTATGCTTACTACCTGCATGATGAGATCAATCATACCACAAACCTCAGCATCTCACAATATACCCATGTAGCAAATCTGCCATGTACTTCCTGAATTTAAGATAGAAGTGGAAATTATTTAAAAATTTCAGCCATTGTATTGTTCAGCTTCAAGATTTTTGCTTGATTCTTTCTTATGTTTTATCTTTTTCTTGAGATTTTCATTTTATTCTTGTATTGCTTTTTTAAAAAAGAATTATGTTTTAATTTTTATTTTTACTTCAGGGGTACAAGTACAGGTTAATTACATAGGTAAACTTGTGTTATGGAAATTTGTTGTATAGATTATTTTATCACCCATGTGTTAAGCCTAGTACCCATTAACAGTTTTCCTTGATACTTTCAATAGTAGCTTTCCTTGATCCTCTCCCATTTCCAGCCCTCCAACCTACAAAAGGCCCTAGTATTTGTTGTTGTCTCCATGTGTCCCTGTGTTATTATTTATCTCTCACTTATAGGTAAGGACATGTGGTATTTGGTTTTCTGTTCCTGTGTTAGTTTTCTAAGGATAATGGGCCACAGCTTCATCTATGTCTTTGCAGAGGACATAATCTCATTCTCTTTTAAAGCTGCATAGAATTCCATGGAGTATATATACCACATTATCTTTATTCACTCTATCATTGATGGACATTTAGGTTGATTCCTAATAAAATTATTTATATTTCTTAGGTTATATACTCAGTAACTGAATTGCTTCATTGAATGGAATTTCTGTCTTTAGTTCTTTGAGGAACAACCACACATTTTCCCACAATATCTGAACTAATTTACACTCCCACCAACCGTACATATGCACTCCTTTTTCAACCTCACCAGCATCTGTTATTTTTTGACTTTTCAATAGTAGCTATTCTGACTGGTGTTAGATAGTATCTCATTATGGTTCTGATTTACATTTCTCTAATAATCCATGATGTTGAGATTTTTTTCTTATGATTGTCACATGTATTACTTCTTTGAAAAGTGTTTGCTCATGTTCTTTCCCCACTTT